GAACTTCTAGTCTTTCTAAAGCAAGTGGGTTATTTAAGTAAATTTGTCTTTGTGATTTCTAAGTCCATTTCTTGCACACTCTTAGGTTTGTCTTTGTGATTTCCAAGTCTATTTCTTGCACAAACTTAGGTTTGTCTTTGTGATTTCTAAGTCTATTTCTTGCACACTCTTACATAAATTTAAGTTTGTGATTTCTAAACCTATTTTTTGCACACTCTTGGGTTTTGAGTTTATATCTTACTTTTGAAGTAGTTAATTCCACATAAGTAAATCAAAATCACTATGATAGTAGTATATATATTATTCGATTTTAAATATAACAACACAAACATAACAAATATCATAACATTGATAAGAAAAGCAACATTTTAAAAGCATGTAAAAGCTAGAATTTCGATTGAATTTGATAGACGACGTTGATGTCAACTTGAAATGCCTTCGCAAGAATATCTCCAGCGATATCGGGATTTGACCCAAAAACAGCGTTTGCAATGGTAATAACTCCTGGATTTTGACTACTCAAAGCTGCAATTGCAACAGCATAGCCATTTCCCACGTTTTTCTGGAAGTGAATCAGGCCTTCTGGGAACACGAAAACATCACCTTTCTGAAGTTCTTTTGTGATGAGTCGGTTTTGAGGGTTGGACGTGACAAATCCGACTAGAATACGGCCTTCCATAACAGTCAAAATTTCAGTGGCCCGAGGGTGTGTATGTGGGGGGTTAATACCCTGTGGGGCAAAGTCAATACGTGCCATTGAGATACCAAGAGTGTTAAGTCCTGGCAGCTCTTCTACGGTCACCGGAGTCACAGCAGACCCAACCGCATTCGAAGTGTTTCCCATTAGTTGCAGTCCTCTATAAAAGAAATCATCAGGTTGTACAAGCCTTGCCTCTTTGCAAACCAAACCATTCACGAATACTACGAGGGAAAAAATTAAATAAATAAACTATTAAATATAATATGTTTTCAAATAATGCATGGAAATGCCGGAGAGTTTCTTGACCTTCACACATAAATTCTTACCTGTGCTATTTTGGTCTGCCACACAGAAGTCCTGAAGAGCACTAGGGTCCGATGCAAACACAAGGGAGCACCCCGCCACCAAGAGACCAAGTAAAAGCAAATGAGACGTCATTGTTGAGAAGCCGAAAACTTGTTTTTGATGACTTAATTATGGTAGCTTGGGAAATCTATGAAATAAAGAATGGAACTCGCAATGCTTTTATAGTGAAAATATAGGATCATCAAGACTAATACCATCATAGCGTCATCATTATCATCTTGAGATGCATTCAAATTTTGTTGTTCGATTTCTAGAAGCAAGATACATTCAACTTACGTTGTCTGGTTCTTAATTTCATAAAGGTTGCAACTACTACCTTATATGTCTGTGATCCTTCCATTCTTATATTTAGGTATATACTTTTTCATAACTTCCATACTTAGGATTAATTTTAATGGAACCTTGAATGTTTATTATGTATAGGAATTTTCTACTTATATCAATTTTTTAAGAAAATGAAAAAGTCTTGAAGAACAATATTGACCGTTTCCACATGAGATAATTATTATAGTTAAAGGATGCTTTATGTACATTTTATTTTTTAATTGATGCATTCCAAGCTTTTCTTGACACAAAAGATTAGCCTACGTGCACTACAAAAAAGTGCACAATTATCGAAAACTATTTATGTGTATAATCCGTTTGATGATGGGTTTTACTGGTTTGTTAGACACATATCAAAATGGGTTAGAAGAAGGTGTATGTGGGCAATATCTTGTACCCATACATAACATACATTATAAACTTACTACATTCACCGAGAAAAGCACAATACTACGGATTATCAGCATAAACTTTTATAACGATGTATTGCACACAAATTTAAGATCCCCTTTTACTAACACAATGTCTTTACTAGTTGTTTGTAAATTACTTGTATTAATTAGACGTCTAAAATTGCAAAAAAATAAATAAATAAATTCTTAATTTTCCTGAAAAAATATAGAAAGATAAATTATAAAAAAATATATATTTGGATTTTATAGTATGAATGGAAACAGTAAATATAAGTCCAAAATTTTGGCAAAAAAATACCCATAAAAATAAACTACTAGGAAAAAGCAAGGTGGGTTGCTAAATAGCAATGCCTAATCAACGCAGTTTGATCAACCAATGGTTGAGATTTATAACCATAATTTTCGCGTTATGTGTCGCCGCTAAAGGTGGCTGTCGCCGCTAACGTCATCGACCCCGATCCACGTCGAAATATAAGGTGAAACCTTAGTCGTTGATTTTGTCCCTAATCCAACTACTGAAAATCGATAATGTACATACTAATAGCAGCGACACCAATAGCAGCAACTGTGTCGCCGCTAATACTCGAAAATTTTGACCGCCAAAGTTTTCCCCCAAAGATGTCGCCGATAATACTCAAAAAATTTGACCATCAAAATTCCTCCGAAAGGTGTCGTCGCTAATACTCTATATGTCGCTGCTAATACTCAACGCGTCGCAGATATACCCCCTTCATTTCCTTCTTCCTCCTTCAGGTCCATCTTCCTCCTTCAGCTCCTTCTTCCCTCTTCTCTCTTCTATGAACTCATTTATATGTAGAATGTGTCTTTTGTATATGTATGTGTATTTATATGTCTATTATGTATGTATTTGTGTATTAGTTTATATATATATATATATATATATATATATATATATATATATATACACGAAAGTCAATTTACATAGTTATGTATCGGACACGCAAGTAAGTGCAACCATAACGACCATACTTGTCAAGATAAAAACAATATGTGTTGGACTTCTCACTTTTTTAAAGCACATGGTATGATTTAATCTAATACAAATAGGCACATAAGACAATTAAATGAAGACATGATTTTTGAAAAAATCAAGTTCTCTTTTGTAAAATTTGGGTTTAATAAAGGGAAAGGTCATATGACCTTTTATTGTCCCGCTGCCTTCCACTTGGTTACCCTCTTCGTCATGTTTCTATACTTTCTCTATACACTCTTATCTTCAAACAAAACTAACCGATTTAGCGGACATTTTGGTTACGATATGGTCTGATAAGGATTCAAAAGGTTGAGTTTTATATGGGATGAATGCGAGATAAGTCTTCCCATCGGCCTCGATGAAGGATCTCCTCCCCCATGTGATTACATGCAAGAAAAAGAATTTGTCAACTTAGGTCCCTCCTTCAAAGATCATAGCATTTTAAGTTTTTAAAATTATAGTTTTTAGTTCTTTGCGAAAAATATACATCTTTTTATGTTAGATAATTAATAATTATTATTTTTCATATTAGTTATATATTTATCATAACTCTTAAGGGAAATTCAATAAAATTAAATAACGACACGAGTGTTATAATATATTGCATTTTTTTTACAAACATGGTTGTCCTCCTATGGTTACTCAAGAACTCATAAATGAGACAACCGTTAGGAATATATGCAGGTGGAAACTATAATCGTGCATGTTGTCTTGTTTGATTTATCTGTATTCGTTTTAAAGTGTGGAAGTTGTTTGTCATTCGAAAACCATGGATGAGAGATGTACACTCGATGATTAGTTGCTTTCACTCTGAGGAAGATGATGCAAGGTATTTGAAAGATAAATCAATGATTTAATTTTATTAAGGTTATTTTAGTTTATAATTTTTCGGTTAAGATTTATCTTAATTAAGAATTGTTATGCCCTATATTAATAAAATATTTAGATTTATATAATATCCTAATTTAGATGATTTCAATCATAATTATGAGTCATATTAGGGTTTTAGTTTAATTATAAATAGGTTAGCCACCTTTGAGTTTTAGAAGTTGATTTTGATTAATAAAGAATGGAATTTGAAACTCTTATTTCTTTATTTTGTGTTCATGTGGTACTAATCGACTATTCAAACTGATCGTCTCATGTCATGAGTAACTTATGGTTTTGTTCTTTAATACATGCAACTAAGATTTTCAATTTGTATGTAATTGGGTATTCAATGGATGTAGCTACATGTGTTTAATTTGTTTGAAGTAGTAGACAACATGCATACATTTTCTTTTTCTGTTTGTGAAATTGTATTCTTGACATATTTGTTTGTATGTTTGATGCTCTCACTTTCTAGTTACAATTGAATGTCAATTGAAGCTCTTATGTGGCTTTTTCAAACATAGATTTTTATGTTTTACTATGTATACTTCATTTTCTTTTAGTTAACGAAATCTTGAAAGGCTGGTCAGAGACCAAAGCACTTCGTGATTTCTATTTTTAGGCTTGGATCTTGGGAGGTTTTTTCTTTGATTATAGATGGATAAGTTGAAGATAGATGATACAAATAGGATTGGGGAAAATTCTAACCAACTTCTGCTTGACAACGGTGGTGGTGGAAGGCGACAGAAGAAGGGAATGGAATGGGAGGTGGGTGGCGTGAAGTGAGGTGGATGGGGTTAGGGATTATTTAATTTCATTTTTCATTATGACAACTAAAACAAAAGAGTTAAAAGGAAAGAAAATTAAATTGGTATAGCTTGTTGACCGACCTAGTAAGTAATCGAAACACCAAGGACCATATTAATCCTTTTGAAAAATTTAATGGTTGAACTTCTAGTCTTTCTAAAGCAAGTGGGTTATTTAAGTAAATTTGTCTTTGTGATTTCTAAGTCCATTTCTTGCACACTCTTAGGTTTGTCTTTGTGATTTCCAAGTCTATTTCTTGCACAAACTTAGGTTTGTCTTTGTGATTTCTAAGTCTATTTCTTGCACACTCTTACATAAATTTAAGTTTGTGATTTCTAAACCTATTTTTTGCACACTCTTGGGTTTTGAGTTTATATCTTACTTTTGAAGTAGTTAATTCCACATAAGTAAATCAAAATCACTATGATAGTAGTATATATATTATTCGATTTTAAATATAACAACACAAACATAACAAATATCATAACATTGATAAGAAAAGCAACATTTTAAAAGCATGTAAAAGCTAGAATTTCGATTGAATTTGATAGACGACGTTGATGTCAACTTGAAATGCCTTCGCAAGAATATCTCCAGCGATATCGGGATTTGACCCAAAAACAGCGTTTGCAATGGTAATAACTCCTGGATTTTGACTACTCAAAGCTGCAATTGCAAAGCATAGCCATTTCCCACGTTTTTCTGGAAGTGAATCAGGCCTTCTGGGAACACGAAAACATCACCTTTCTGAAGTTCTTTTGTGATGAGTCGGTTTTGAGGGTTGGACGTGACAAATCCGACTAGAATACGGCCTTCCATAACAGTCAAAATTTCAGTGGCCCGAGGGTGTGTATGTGGGGGGTTAATACCCTGTGGGGCAAAGTCAATACGTGCCATTGAGATACCAAGAGTGTTAAGTCCTGGCAGCTCTTCTACGGTCACCGGAGTCACAGCAGACCCAACCGCATTCGAAGTGTTTCCCATTAGTTGCAGTCCTCTATAAAAGAAATCATCAGGTTGTACAAGCTTGCCTCTTTGCAAACCAAACCATTCACGAATACTACGAGGGAAAAAATTAAATAAATAAACTATTAAATATAATATGTTTTCAAATAATGCATGGAAATGCCGGAGAGTTTCTTGACCTTCACACATAAATTCTTACCTGTGCTATTTTGGTCTGCCACACAGAAGTCCTGAAGAGCACTAGGGTCCGATGCAAACACAAGGGAGCAACCCGCCACCAAGAGACCAAGTAAAAGCAAATGAGACGTCATTGTTGAGAAGCCGAAAACTTGTTTTTGATGACTTAATTATGGTAGCTTGGGAAATCTATGAAATAAAGAATGGAACTCGCAATGCTTTTATAGTGAAAATATAGGATCATCAAGACTAATACCATCATAGCGTCATCATTATCATCTTGAGATGCATTCAAATTTTGTTGTTCGATTTCTAGAAGCAAGATACATTCAACTTACGTTGTCTGGTTCTTAATTTCATAAAGGTTGCAACTACTACCTTATATGTCTGTGATCCTTCCATTCTTATATTTAGGTATATACTTTTTCATAACTTCCATACTTAGGATTAATTTTAATGGAACCTTGAATGTTTATTATGTATAGGAATTTTCTACTTATATCAATTTTTTAAGAAAATGAAAAAGTCTTGAAGAACAATATTGACCGTTTCCACATGAGATAATTATTATAGTTAAAGGATGCTTTATGTACATTTTATTTTTTAATTGATGCATTCCAAGCTTTTCTTGACACAAAAGATTAGCCTACGTGCACTACAAAAAAGTGCACAATTATCGAAAACTATTTATGTGTATAATCCGTTTGATGATGGGTTTTACTGGTTTGTTAGACACATATCAAAATGGGTTAGAAGAAGGTGTATGTGGGCAATATCTTGTACCCATACATAACATACATTATAAACTTACTACATTCACCGAGAAAAGCACAATACTACGGATTATCAGCATAAACTTTTATAACGATGTATTGCACACAAATTTAAGATCCCCTTTTACTAACACAATGTCTTTACTAGTTGTTTGTAAATTACTTGTATTAATTAGACGTCTAAAATTGCAAAAAAATAAATAAATAAATTCTTAATTTTCCTGAAAAAATATAGAAAGATAAATTATAAAAAAATATATATTTGGATTTTATAGTATGAATGGAAACAGTAAATATAAGTCCAAAATTTTGGCAAAAAAATACCCATAAAAATAAACTACTAGGAAAAAGCAAGGTGGGTTGCTAAATAGCAATGCCTAATCAACGCAGTTTGATCAACCAATGGTTGAGATTTATAACCATAATTTTCGCGTTATGTGTCGCCGCTAAAGGTGGCTGTCGCCGCTAACGTCATCGACCCCGATCCACGTCGAAATATAAGGTGAAACCGTTGATTTTGTCCCTAATCCAACTACTGAAAATCGATAATGTACATACTAATAGCAGCGACACCAATAGCAGCAACTGTGTCGCCGCTAGTACTCGAAAATTTTGACCGCCAAAGTTTCCCCCCAAAGATGTCGCCGATAATACACAAAAAATTTGACCATCAAAATTCCTCCGAAAGGTGTCGTCGCTAATACTCTATATGTCGCTGCTAATACTCAACGCGTCGCAGATATACCCCCTTCATTTCCTTCTTCCTCCTTCAGGTCCATCTTCCTCCTTCAGCTCCTTCTTCCCTCTTCTCTCTTCTATGAACTCATTTATATGTAGAATGTGTCTTTTGTATATGTATGTGTATTTATATGTCTATTATGTATGTATTTGTGTATTAGTTTATATATATATATATATATATATATATATATATATATATATATATATATATATAGTGTTTTTATATGTGTCTATTGTATGTAATTCTGTTTTAGTATGTGTATCATGTATGCATATGTGTTTTGTTATATGTATGTATATGTTTTTGTATGTGTATTGTGTATGTATTGATGTATTTTTGGTTATATGTTTTTATAAAGTTTTTATAATTTATAACAGTTTTTATAATTTTATAACGTTTGTTTTGTATATGGAAAGAATGTTTTAAAAAAAACTAAAAAAAGAGAAAACTACAATTAGCGGCGACACTTTTAGTGGCGACAAAAACTATTAGTGGCGACGGTAAGCATTAGCAGCGACCGATTGGGTATTAGCGACGAACCAACAGCGGCGACATGTCGGGGCCTTTAGCGGCGACGTCTGTCGTCACTAATAGTTATTATTCTTGTAGTGCATGTTTCATGTGCCAAATCTCTATGTGTGCTTTCTAATGAAGAAGTTGGAAGGAACATCCTACAATAATCTACATCTAATCATATGTCTCTTCCACTAAATTTTTTCTAAAATACACCCCAACCAACAATTTTGATTTATGTGTGGATGTTGGATCAACGATCGTCCTAGATTTCTGCGATGATAGAACACCGAGCAAAGAGGCGAAGATTGATGAAAGGTTAAACTATTAAACAACTTTAAAAAAAATTAGGAAACAATAAATTATTTCATACTGATTCTCGTCTTCTTTGCTTGATCAGGCGATATGTGCTCCCCCCTGTTCGAGTCCATTACCTACGAGTTTTAATGACCGGGAACTTGTGTCATCTTAATCCATTTGCCATTAGTAACACAAGGTTTTGTTCTTTAATCCATAAAACCTAGATTCGTATTTTTGTATGTTATTAGCTATTGATTATATGGATGTAGCTACCTGTGTTTAATTTAATTAACTAGTACGCAACGTTCACACTTTAACTTTTTGTTTCTAGTGACATTGTATTTTTGGCTTATTTGTTCATATGTTTTAGGTTCACACTTGCTCGTTACTAATAAATTTCAAGAGAATCCTTGTATGAGTTTTGCTCTCATTTGCTAGTTACCATAGGGCTTCATAATATTATTTTATTTGCCATGGGTATAGGGAGGTTGTTGCTTTACTAATTGATGTTCAGGTTGAAGACAAATTACGAAAATAGGGTTGGGTAAAACCCTAAAAATCTTCTGTTTTGAAATGGTGATTGAGGATGGTGATGGTAATGACGGTAGTGGTTGAGGGCGACCGAAGAAGGGAGATGAATGGAATGGGGGTAGGTATGGTGACATAAGGTAGGTCAGCGCCGGGGGGGGGGAGGGTAGGGTTTGGATTTATTTGTTATCTTTCTTACCAATAAAAAGGTAAAAAAAAAAAAAAAAAAAAAAAAAAAAAAAAAACAAAAAAATATATATTTAAAAATATACGAAAGTCAGTTTACATAGTTATGTATCGGTCACACAAGTAAGTGCAACCATAACGACCATACTCGTCAAGATAAAAACAATATGTGTTGGACTTCTCACTTTTTTAAAGCACATGGTATGATTTAATCTAATACAAATAGGCACATAAGACAAGTAAATGAAGACATGGTTTTGAAAAAATCGAGTTCTCTTTTGCAAAATTTGGGTTTGATTAAGGGAAAGGTCATATGACCTTTTATTGTCCCGCTGCCTTCCACTTGGCCTTCCACTTGGTTACCCTCTTCCTCATGTTTCTATACTTTCTCTATACACTCTTATCTTCAAACAAAACTAACCGATTTAGGGTACATTTTGGTTACGATATGGTCTGATAAGGATTCAAAAGGTTGAGTTTTATATGGGATGAATGCGAGATAAGTCTTACCATCGGCCTCGATGAAGGATCTCCTCCCCCATGTGATTACATGCAAGAAAAAGAATTTGTCAACTTAGGTCCCTCCTTCAAAGATCATAGCATTTTAAGTTTTTAAAATTATAGTTTTTAGTTCTTTGCGAAAAATATACATCTTTTTATGTTAGATAATTAATAATTATTATTTTTAATATTAGTTATATATTTATCATAACTCTTAAGGGAAATTCAATAAAATTAAATAACGACACGAGTGTTATAATATATTGCATTTTTTTTTACAAACATGGTTGTCCTCCTATGGTTACTCAAGAACTCATAAATGAGACAATCGTTAGGAATATATGCAGGTGGAAACTATAATCGTGCATGTTGTCTTGTTTGATTTATCTGTATTCGTTTTAAAGTGTGGAAGTTGTTTGTCATTCGAAAACCATGGATGAGAGATGTACACTCGATGATGAGTTGCTTTCACTCTGAGGAAGATGATGCAAGGTATTTGAAAGATAAATCAATGATTTAATTTTATTAAGGTTATTTTATTTTATAATTTTTTCGGTTAAGATTTATCTTAATTAAGAATTGTTATGCCCTATATTAATAAAATATTTAGATTGATATAATCTCCTAATTTAGATGATTTCAATCATAATTATGAGTCATATTAGGGTTTTAGTTTAATTATAAATAGGTTAGCCACCTTTGAGTTTTAGAAGTTGATTTTGATTAATAAAGAATGGAATTTGAAACTCTTATTTCTTTACTTTGTGTTCATGTGGTACTAATCGACTATTCAAACTGATCGTCTCATGTCATGAGTAACATATGGTTTTGTTCTTTAATACATGAAACTAAGATTTTCAATTTGTATGTAATTGGGTATTCAATGGATGTAGCTACATGTGTTTAATTTGTTTGAAGTAGTAGACAACATGCATACATTTTCTTTTTCTGTTTGTGAAATTGTATTCTTGACATATTTGTTTGTATGTTTGATGCTCTCACTTTCTAGTTACAATTGAATGTCAATTGAAGCTCTTATGTGGCTTTTTCAAACATAGATTTTTATGTTTTACTATGTATACTTCATTTTCTTTTAGTTAACGAAATCTTGAAAGGCTGGTCAGAGACCAAAGCACTTCGTGATTTCTATTTTTAGGCTTGGATCTTGGGAGGTTTTTTCTTTGATTATAGATGGATAAGTTGAAGATAGATGATACAAATAGGTTTGGGGAAAATTCTAACCAACTTCTGCTTGACAACGGTGGTGGTGGAAGGCGACAGAAGAAGGGAATGGAATGGGAGGTGGGTGGCGTCAAGTGAGGTGGATGGGTTTAGGGATTATTTAATTTCATTTTTCATTATGACAACTAAAACAAAAGAGTTAAAAGGAAAGAAAATTAAATTGGTATAGCTTGTTGACCGACCTAGTAAGTAATCGAAACACCAAGGACCATATTAATCTTTTTGAAAAATTGATGGTTGAACTTCTAGTCTTTCTAAAGCAAGTGGGTTATTTACGTAAATTTGTCTTTGTGATTTCTAAGTCCATTTCTTGCACACTCTTAGGTTTGTCTTTGTGATTTCCAAGTCTATTTCTTGCACAAACTTAGGTTTGTCTTTGTGATTTCTAAGTCTATTTCTTGCACACTCTTACATAAATTTAAGTTTGTGATTTCTAAGCCTATTTTTTGCACACTCTTGGGTTTTGAGTTTATATCTTACTTTTGAAGTAGTTAATTCCACATAAGTAAATCAAAATCACTATGATAGTAGTATATATATTATTCGATTTTAAATATAACAACATAAACATAACAAATATCATAACATTGATAAGAAAAGCAACATTTTAAAAGCATGTAAAAGCTAGAATTTCGATTGAATTTGATAGACGACGTTGATGTCAACTTGAAAGGCCTTCGCAAGAATATCTCCAGCGATATCGGGATTTGACCCAAAAACAGCGTTTGCAATGGTAATAACTCCTGGATTTTGACTACTCAAAGCTGCAATTGCAACAGCATAGCCATTTCCCACGTTTTTTTGGAAGTGAATCAGGCCTTCTGGGAACACGAAAACATCACCTTTCTGAAGTTCTTTTGTGATGAGTCGGTTTTGAGGGTTGGACGTGACAAATCCGACTAGAATACGGCCTTCCATAACAGTCAAAATTTCAGTGGCCCGAGGGTGTGTATGTGGGGGGTTAATACCCTGTGGGGCAAAGTCAATACGTGCCATTGAGATACCAAGAGTGTTAAGTCCTGGCAGCTCTTCTACGGTCACCGGAGTCACAGCAGACCCAACCGCATTCGAAGTGTTTCCCATTAGTTGCAGTCCTCTATAAAAGAAATCATCAGGTTGTACAAGCCTTGCCTCTTTGCAAACCAAACCATTCACGAATACTACGAGGGAAAAAATTAAATAAATAAACTATTAAATATAATATGTTTTCAAATAATGCATGGAAATGCCGGAGAGTTTCTTGACCTTCACACATAAATTCTTACCTGTGCTATTTTGGTCTGCCACACAGAAGTCCTGAAGAGCACTAGGGTCCGATGCAAACACAAGGGAGCACCCCGCCACCAAGAGACCAAGTAAAAGCAAATGAGACGTCATTGTTGAGAAGCCGAAAACTTGTTTTTGATGACTTAATTATGGTAGCTTGGGAAATCTATGAAATAAAGAATGGAACTCGCAATGCTTTTATAGTGAAAATATAGGATCATCAAGACTAATACCATCATAGCGTCATCATTATCATCTTGAGATGCATTCAAATTTTGTTGTTCGATTTCTAGAAGCAAGATACATTCAACTTACGTTGTCTGGTTCTTAATTTCATAAAGGTTGCAACTACTACCTTATATGTCTGTGATCCTTCCATTCTTATATTTAGGTATATACTTTTTCATAACTTCCATACTTAGGATTAATTTTAATGGAATCTTGAATGTTTATTATGTATAGGAATTTTCTACTTATATCAATTTTTTAAGAAAATGAAAAAGTCTTGAAGAACAATATTGACCGTTTCCACATGAGATAATTATTATAGTTAAAGGATGCTTTATGTACATTTTATTTTTTAATTGATGCATTCCAAGCTTTTCTTGACACAAAAGATTAGCCTACGTGCACTACAAAAAAGTGCACAATTATCGAAAACTATTTATGTGTATAATCCGTTTGATGATGGGTTTTACTGGTTTGTTAGACACATATCAAAATGGGTTAGAAGAACGTGTATGTGGGCAATATCTTGTACCCATACATAACATACATTATAAACTTACTACATTCACCGAGAAAAGCACAATACTACGGATTATCAGCATAAACTTTTATAACGATGTATTGCACACAAATTTAAGATCCCCTTTTAGTAACACAATGTCTTTACTAGTTGTTTGTAAATTACCTGTATTAATTAGACGTCTAAAATTGCAAAAAAAAATAAATAATAAATAAATAAATTCTTAATTTTCCTGAAAAAATATAGAAAGATAAAGTATAACAAAAAATATATTTGGATTTTATAGTATGAATGGAAACAGTAAATATAAGTCCAAAATTTTGGCAAAAAAATACCCATAAAAATAAACTACTAGGAAAAAGCTAGGTGGGTTGCTAAATAGCGATGCCTAATCAACGCAGTTTGATCACCAATGGTTGAGATTTATAACCATAATTTTCGCGTTATGTGGCGCCGCTGACGTCATCGACCCCGATCCGCGTCGAAATATAAGGTGAAACCTTAGTCGTTGATTTTGTCCCTAATCCAACTATTGAAAATCGATAATGTACATACCAATAGCAGCGACACCAATAGCAGCAACTGTGTCGACGCTAATACTCGAAAATTTTGACCGCCAAAGTTTCCCCCCAAAGATGTCGCCGATAATTCTCAAAAAATTTGACCATCAAAATTCCCCCGAAAGGTGTCGCTGCTAATACTCTATATGTCGCTGCTAATACTCAACGTGTCGCCGCTAAAAGGCGCCGCTGCTAATGCCATTCGCAGATATAACCCCCTTCAGCTCCTTCTTCCTCCTTCAGGTCCATCTTCCTCCTTCAGCTCCTTCTTCCCTCTTCTCTCTTCTATGAACTCATTTATATGTAGAATGTGTCTTTTGTATATGTATGTGTATTTATATGTCTATTATGTATGTATTTGTGTATTAGTTTATATATATATATATATATATATATATATATATATATATATATATATATATATATATATGTATATAGTGTTTTTAAATGTGTTTATTGTATGTATTTGTGTATTAGTATGTGTATCATGTATGCATATGTGTTTTTGTATATGTATGTATATGTTTTGTATGTGTATTGTGTATGTATTGATGTGTTTTTGGTTATATATTTTTATAATTTATAACAGTTTTTATAATTTTATAACGTTTGTTTTGTATATGAAAAGAATGTTTTAAAAAATACTAAAAAAAGAGAAAACTACAATTAGCGGCGACACTTTTAGTGGCGACAAAAACTATTAGTGGCGACGGTAAGCATTAGCAGCGACCGATTGGGTATTAGCGACGAAGCAACAGCGGCGACATGTCAGGGCCTTTAGCGGTGACGTCTGTCGTCACTAATAGTTATTATTCTTGTAGTGCATGTTTCATGTGCCAAATCTCTATGTGTGCTTTCTAATGAAGAAGTTGGAAGGAACATCCTACAATAATCTACATCTAATCATATGTCTCTTCCACTAACTTTTTTCTAAAATACACCCCAACCAACAATTTTGATTTATGTGTGGATGTTGGATCAACGATCGTCCTAGATTTCTGCGATGATAGAACACCGAGCAAAGAGGCGAAGATTGATGAAAGGTTAAACTATTAAACAACTTTAAAAAAAAATTAGGAAACAATAAATTATTTCATACTGATTCTCATCTTCTTTGCTTGATCAGGCGATATGTGCTCCCCCCTGTTCGAGTCCATTACCTACGAGTTTTAATGACCGGGAACTTGTGTAATCTTAATCCATTTGCCATTAGTAACACAAGGTTTTGTTCTTTAATCCATGAAACCTAGATTCGTATTTTTGTATGTTATTAGCTATTGATTATATGGATGTAGCTACATGTGTTTAATTTAATTAACTAGTACGCAACGTTCACACTTTAACTTTTTGTTTCTAGTGACATTGTAGTTTTGGCTTATTTGTACATATGTTTTAGGTTCACACTTGCTCCTTACTAATAAATTTCAAAAGAATCCTTGTATGAGTTTTGCTCTCATTTGCTAGTTACCATAGGGCTTCATAATTTTATTTTATTTGCCATGGGTATAGGGAGGTTGTTGCTTTACTAATTGATGTTCAGGTTGAAGACAAATTACGAAAATA